ATAAAAATAAAATGAAGAAGTAGAGATAAAACCTTGTAAATATAAAAAGAAAGCTGATATTTTAAATAGCAGTCATGAACAAAAATATCCCCTGTTTAAGAGTGAGCATATAAAGAATTTATAATAATAACAATAATAGTATTTTATCACATCATGACCATTCAAAGTTCCATTAGGCTGTTGTTGAATGTTTTAAAACCAAATTTGTTTATTAGATTAGCATTTTCATTCCTTATATTTTGCAAAAACAACTGGTGTAATTTAAAGGTCATCATAATGTGTAATTGGCAATATAATAATTATATAAAAATTTTCAATACAATGTAATTCATAGCTCCTCAGTTTTATTTTGAAACACCATATTAATCATATTTATTATGAATGATGCAATGTTGTAAATTTCGTTTTCAGAGGGAAAAGTCCCCCCCCCAGATTTCCTCCCTTTTTTTAAAAACCCTACCCATTTTTTTGGAGGGGGAGGAAGTTTAGATTATTATGTATGCATGTGCATATATGTTCTATGTATGTATATTCTCATTTGCTTGATAATGACAAGTAAGATAAATTAGATTTTTATAATATTTTTATTTACTTCTTTGCATTGTGTAGGAAAATATATGAAATTATTCATTTATTCAGTTTGGAACTAATATCTTTCATTTGATGAATCAAATTATTCAGTTTGATCATGGAATAGTGGGAAAAGTAAGAAATTTAGAAGATAGATTTCAGTGGACATCTGTGTCATTTTCCCAAGGTAGTTTATGTGAATTCTTCCTATTTCTAAAAATAAAGTCTGCAGGGAAAGGTATCAGATTTACCAGATGAAATAGGTGAAAAAGTGATTTCTAGAACACACTTTTGGAGAATGACTGCAATATTGTTTCCAGCAGCAGATCTGCATGGAATGGTGTAAGGTTTCATTTGATTTATTTTAATTATGGCAAAGAATGCATGAGCTATCTGCCTAAGGAGAGGGATTTCTGGTCCTTTATGGAGGACTTTCTAAGGAGAATTGGCTTGTTTTTGTGTTATGCATGGGAAAATCATGAAAATACCCATACAACCAACCCATTTGCTTGGAATCAAATACAAATCAAACTACCAGTGTTTAGCAATTTTATTTCTTGGCTGCTGGTGGGGATGAAGATGTAGGGATTGAGCAGGATATGTATTAATAACAGTATTTCTGTTGTGTAAGTTTGGGAGCAGCAAATATCATTAAAGCTTTCTAGGATTTTTTTTTAGCCACAGCTTACATAATTAAGTATTCTTTTGTAAGGAAAATTATTGCTTGATGGTGCTCATAAACAAATCTCTCTAACTAATTTCGAAGGAAATTTCCCTTAGTTATTTAGTCCTCTCATGTTTAATTTTCACAGATTTCCTTTTGACATTTAGTTATCCTAGTACTACTGTTTGAAAACTATTGCTGTAAGTTAATACAGTGTTTCTATCCTTTGCTATAACCCTAGAAAAACAGATATGCAATTAAACTCTGGATTAATTTGGGCAATACTAGGGCTGATGTCCACAGTTAAACTTATCGCTTGTTAGATTGATGGAGACAAAATATTATTCTGATGGTTTAGGACAGCAGTTTTTCCATTGTTCTGCAATATACAAACTAAAATTTTTAAGACCATGCCTGTTTAATCTGCTTCTGGCTAATCAGAAGTTGACTGTAGATTAAATAAATTTTAATAGTTTGTGATTCGTGTTTGCAGGACGTAGTGTTGCTGAACTGCAAGTAACAGGGGTGAAGACTACTTTCTCAAAGCATCCTCATGACATATCTCTGACATTATGTGTTCATAGCCTTCTCCTTGTTGATGCTTTACAGACATATGGTCCAGATTTTGAATTATTATTAGCTTCCCATAAGCATCTGAGGTACGTAGATATTTGCAAAAGATCAGTGTCAAATGCAGGCACTTATTGGATGTAAAAGTACTAGTATTTTGCAGTTTTCTTTGATAATATGAATTTTATATGAAATAAATGCCATGTATGTTTTCCTGTGTACAGTATTTGTTAATTTAGACATCTAGTATACTCACTGCATAGAATGTTTAAAAAAATTGTGCAGCTAAATATCTTTTGTACAATTGGTTATATTTTATGCATTGATGAATTCATCTCATGAAATTAATACAGAAAACTCTCCTTGCCCCAAGCTCCGAAAAAGTTACCAAAATTGGATGACTTAAACCGCTTTCACCCATTGAAAAGAAGGAATAAAAACGGCATTTTAATAGATGCATAAAAATCGAATTTCTGCTAGTAAACATTTTGAAATTTATTATTTTCACAAATGAGAATTTTTACCTCAGGCATGTATATAATTTCTGTCTTTTAAAATAACTTTTATCAATCTGTTCTTAAAAATAAATTTTTAGGTTATATGCTTAACAGTGTTTAGCAAATGTATATGTAGTTTGTATGTGGTCATAATTTTCGATGAGAAATTTAGTTAATGTTTGGAAATTTAATTAATGAGGTATTTTGATCATGTGGTGATGGTTCTGCTCTCTGCAAAAAGTTGTCACATGAGTAAAATGGGCGTAATATAAATTTTTTAATCTGGAAAAGCGCAAATCTAAAACCGTTCAGTAAAAAGAACTATAGTCATGCAGTATTTTTTGAGTGCCTTCCACATAAAATTTTCTACAGCATGATTTTAGGTGGATTTTGGAAATAAACTATCTGAATTTTCTTGCAGTTTTCTGAAAAAAAAGATATTTTTTATAGCAATTACTTTTAAGAGATAGTAAAATACTTTTTATAGAGTTAAAATACTTTTGAAGAGAATTTCCAAAAAATTAGAAGAGTATTAAAAAAGTAGAAGATTCTGAATTTATTTAACAATCAGAAAAGAAAAATTATATAGAAATGGCCTTATGCTACATGCAGGAATATGTCAGATTATAGAACTTAACATATTTTCTGACCTAGTATAAGATAAATGTTTCCATACTACATAGAAAGAAGAAATATTTTATTGCCAATCTAGTGTAATTGGTAATAAATTGGTAAAATTATTGAAAAATGATTTTATTTTAGAACATAAAAATATCAAATTAATATCAGCACTTCGGAAAGTGGTGTATGGATTTAAGAGAGGCCTGTAATGCTAGAATGTGGAAACTAAATCAGTATAAAGAGTAGCAACTTGATAAAGGAATATGAGACTAGTATTCATAATCTGCAGTAAATTTGTGTGCATGTAAATTGAATGCACACATTGTATATGATAGACAGATAAATTTGTACTTTGGATGCCTTAAAACCTGCTGCTCTGAACATTTTTTAATCTTAACCGAAATTTAATTTGCTGATTTCTTGAATGAATTGCTATTTTTTTTTTTAAATTTCTAATAGATTTGATTCTGATCAGTTATGTTATTTGATATTTATTATTATGTTATCTGATCTATTATTATTATATTTTAAAAATTTCATTAAATTATTTAGTATGGATAGCGTCAGTGGCAGTCTGCGGGACAGTGATCCTAGTTCACCAACATCTCCGGGCAGTCCAAGTCCTTTAAGTTCCCAAGTTCGGATGTCAGTTCCAACACCTCCTGCTGCTATATCAGCAGCTTTACATACACTTCAGAAATCATCCAAAAAATGTAAGATTCACATGCACTTCTTTTGATATGATCATTATTTGTGATCCAATATTTCTTGAAAGATTTGAGTGGGTAATTTTAAAATATTCAGTATTGCTCAGTATAGCAGCTTATAAAATTTTCTTGAATGACTGCTTATGGATATTGTCATCAATTTAAGGTGTAAATAAAATAAGATCAGACTTTCGGATCAGGCTTTAAGTGGCATTTCTGTCATATGACATCTTTTAGTGAAAATGAGTAAAATTAAAATTTGTATCATAGTTAAGTTAGGTTCTTTGACTATGGCAAAGCACACAAAGTCTATTTACCTAAGAGGAGAGGTGCCTTCGTGGAAGGCTCTTAAAGGGAAACTGGCTCGTATTCATGTTAAACATTGAGAAAACTAAAAAAAAACTAGTCATGCAATCTGCTGATTCACTTGGGATTGAATCTGAGTCGAACTCGCAGTATTCAGCGGTCTTAACCATTTGGCCACTATTAGGGCCTCTTTTTCTAAATTTTTGTTTGTTACCTAGAAAGTTTCAATTTATTACTTTTTGTCCTACTTGACTTCTTTCTTTACAATATCCTGTACTGTAATATGCAGAACTGGTTGAAAAACTTGCCATAACTGTATAATTTAAATCACTTTTATATGATGAAAGAAATGGCAAAGATGTAAATTTTAGAGGTTATATATATATATAGTCTTCTTCAGAGCCTCTTAAATTCTGTTCTGCATTTGCAAAGGGTTTTCCAGTGGGTAATTTTAATAATAGTAAAGCCATTTTCGATTCAATATAACCATAAAAACTTGGGTCTTAGTTTGACTTGCTTTCTTCTAGTTTATAGTTAAAATTTTTTAATGTTTTAAGAAGAATTCATTTAGTTATTGTAATTTTGAAACAGTGGAAGTTTCATCTGTAAACTCATCCTCCATCAGGCCTCCATATATATCTGAATACAGAGGTGCCTAGCTATTGGGTAAGTGCGAAAGTTTTACCCGTTTTCATTACCCACAAAGAACAGCAAATAAACGCAAAATGAACAGTACCTATTGTTGTCCATAATCCCCATTGTTATCTATGACCTCTTGCCATCTTTCTGGTAGGAGATGAATTTCATGGCGGTAAAATTACGGCGGTTTCGAAAGTCTTGGATGGCAATTTTCACAGCGTCAAGATCATCAAGGTTTGAATGAAGGAATGTTCAGGCACAAATAGGTGATGTCGTTGGTCCCAAGTAGAAGAAGGGATGATGGGTTCAAACTCCCAACCAAAATGAGTAATTTTGGCAAGTGATGATAGACATGGGTCTGGCATTATCATGATGGAGGAACACCGTGATGTTGATGAAAACTGGCCGCTTGCTACCAAATTTAAATGCGACGTCAACTCTAGACAGTAGAAGGCAGCATTGAGGTTTGGTGAGTGCAGGACCCCCAGTGAATTATCCCTGCAATCCCACCACACTCAGTACACTCTTGGGATGAAATTCGCTTTCAAAATCCGCAGGCGGATCAGATGGCGACCACACTTATGATGCTTTATGTTGTGGACATAACCACGTCTCGTCTCCTGTCACAATTCGTGCAAGAAGGGCCGTTTTGCACAGAAAAGCAGGAAACACAGGTGCGATCAGTCATCCCATTGATTAGCTGTCAGATATGTAGAACGAACGATCCAAATTTATCGTAAAACCTAAATTCATCAGCTGTCTCTCGATGCTGTCTGGGACATTGAAGGTCTCCACTATTTCTTGATGATTGGTTCATTTGTTACTATGACTTGGTATATTCTCCAACATATGGGGCCTCACCTGATTTGCAGCTCTTCCATTCTAAATTTTATGAAACCACGATGACATGTGCTTATCTACTGCTCCCACCAAAGTGCGTAACATTGCGCTGTTGTACTCGTTGTATCGAACTCGTATAACAATAGTGTTATATGCTCCTTCTCTTTTTCCATGTTACACCTTCCAAGTTTTTTTTTTTTTTTTTTTTTTTTTGAGATGATTAACTATGCGAGACATGATGCATTTATATGTGAGGCATCCACACGTTTGATTGGCCGACGATTTTCGTCATTACAGTGTCATGTGTGACATCAATTCCATTGCAAATTTGCATATTTAAAAATGGGTAGAAATTTTGCACTCACCCGATATATTCCAAGTCACTGAATTGCTAAAATCTTTTATGACTTGTATGAGCTGTGTTATGAGTATTTTTGTTTCACATGCTGTTCTCACAAGGGTGACTGGGTTTCTATTATTAGATTTTTGTGTGGTATAATGTTTGCATGAGAAAGCAAAATTAAATTTCAAATTGAAGTTAGCTAGTTTAATGCCATAATAAATGTCTCTTAAAATTAATCTCTCCAGTAAAATTTATTCAGTTGTGTATTTATCTGATTTTACCATGAAAAAGTTATATTATTTCCCATTAGTTTTTCTTTTGGCATATCTTTTCTAATGATTTTATCTTTCTAATAAGAATGTACAGAAGATTAAGTTTGGAAAATGATATATGATTGAAATACTAATGAAAAACAAATAGAACTGAACTACAAATTTGGCCTTTATTTATTCTAAATGGTTTCTTTGTTCGAATACCTGCATATCAAATTGACACTTTTAGGCTCCATTCAGATGATGGTATAAATGCATCTTACACTTACTTAAGTCCTTAAGTCTAACATGTTTAAGTGTTTGGCTCCATTCAGATGGTGGTATAAATGCCATAGAGACATAGTCATAAAGCATAAAATGCAGGAGTCATTCCATTCACTTCTGCCAGACAGGATCTAAACTGTAGCCAGTTAGAGAAGCTAAATTTGCACATGTATGTGTGTCTACGGATTTCCCCATGAAACAGGTTTCATGCATTCTCCCTGATTGGTCAACTCTTATACCAAGTTGGCATGGAGTTGAAAACTTCAAACTTTATACCAAAACCCCTAAACCAATTTTTTGTGATGTAGCAAGGTTTGGTTACCTAGCACAGCTTAAATCAGTTATGGCATTTATATCACCATCTGAATGGAGTCTTAATCATTAATGTTTCTATTAAAAAATATAAAAATTTCAAGATTAAAAAGGAATTGCAATTGGATTTCGGTATGCAGATTTGATTTTAGACTGAAATAAATCTCAAAATTCTTAATTTTCTCAATATATAATAGATATATATAATATGTTATTGAAGAGTTAGGTTTGGAGGCAACTTCCCCTGATAAGTCTGTCTCCTGCCTGCTAATAGTCATTCAAGCATTTTTTAAAAAAAAATTTAGATTAATTTTAATTTGCTAAATGGTGAATTATTTTCATGTTTGGTTTGCACTTGATTTACTTATGCTATCTGAATTTAAATGATATGTAGATTAGTTCGAAAATTTAAATCTTTATATGTTGCTCAATTTTAATTATTTTAATTAAATTACTTTTATGTATTTACATGTTTGTTATATATATATATATATATATAATAATTTATTTCCTAAACTGTTGATTAATTGATTTATATCTCCTAAGTTTAATTAAAGTAGAATTATTTTAAAATGTGCATCCATACTGGTAAGTGAATTTGAAGAGGTTTGAAGTAATTGAAAGCAAAAAATAATGTTTTATGGGACTGGAGTTAAATCACAAGAATAATATTTCAATTGTAAAAGGAAAAATTAAAACATGTAATCATTGTCATTGACGGAAATTAGTGACTTTCAAGGGGAAAAAACCAACTCCCGTTCAATGAACAATAATTGATAAAAATACGTAATATATATAATATATGTATGAATCTACTCATCTAATAATGGTTATTCCTTGCTTGATTTTGCTTTCTTTAGCAGTATGGAATCAATTCCACAATCTGGAAGCCAATTTTAGTGTTAGCAGAACTCATTTAGTGGCTTCTGTTACTATTCAGTGTATCTGACTTGTTTCAAGCCAGACTATAGCTCTTTGTGCAATAGATTGGGGCAAATCTTGACCATGAGACTGAATTACTTCATAATATTTCATATTATAAAATCTTAAAATTGTTATTTAGTCCTTAAAATCTCAGTTTAGAATTTAAAGCAAAGTTTATAATGAATGTGCTTATGAGTGTGCTTTAACATACCATGAATAGACAAGATAGCATTAAAATTTGACGTTAAAGAGCATGAATTTTATGTAAAAAAAAAAAGATAAATAAATAAATCTTTGATGACCCTTATTTGCTTTTTAAACCTTTTTAAAAAATTTACTAACTTCATCCAAAAAACAACTTATCCGGTTGATAAATTAAGATTATTTCCTTGAAGTTTATAAAAGCATTCACCAAAACCTCTCTGTGATTTTAATTGAAGTACATCTTTTCCAAAGTATTTAAAAGCTTTTTACCATATTTTTTCCTCCTTTGATTTATATTTTGCTTGATGGATAGCTAGCATTGCGATGGTGCTTCCTTTGTTATATATTTGTACTGTTATGTTTGCTTACATGATGCATTTGTTCCAAGTTATATGACAGTTATATTTGACATTTTAAAGGAAATGCCCATGCATAAGTTCAATGTTTTGTGTTTATATAGCTATTGAAACTAGGAGAAGATGGTCATCTTCATTGCATGTTCCCAAGACTGAACACTATGCTTCTGATGCATTGATTATAATTGAATATAACTGGATTGAAACACCCTCTTCTGCAGCTGGACCTTCTGAAATTATGCAAATTGCAAATGTTCAGTTCAACAATTTAGATGTTATTGGTAATTACTGAACATTTTATTTAAATTACTTTATTTTAGCATGTCTGTGATTTTCATATGAATTTATGTTCAAATTTTTCTCAAAATTCTTCAGTTATTTGCAACTTTGATAAAATTTTATGGTGTAGGAGTTATATACAGTGCATGTACAAAATTTTAGTGTAGAATTTTTAAGAAAATGTTAATTACTGCAGTGATAGCTTTTACATTTTATTCTACATTTTTTATAATTTCTTTTAGAAGTTCAAATGGAATTAAAAAAAATTATATAGTCAGTTTCTGCTGTTAATTATTCAAAAGCTGTTTTATTAATAGTGTAGCTTGTTCCCCCCCCCCAACCATTACATTCCAAGTTCAACTATCTCTCATTTAACTAACCAGGGTATTTTAAATATTTTAACTTTTTCCCTCTTTTCTTTTTCTTTTTTTTTTTTTAAACAAAAATTAAGCAAATGAGAAACTGTAAAGGGATCATAAATCACATGGGGGACTGAAACAATCTCTCAACCCCTCCCCAAATGGTATAGTGTTTGTGTACTAATGCAGTGGGTATTCACAAATTTGCAGGATCCGTACATTAAGAAAATTGTGCATGAATGGGCATGTCGGTACCCGTGGTAGGTAGCCCTTCTGCCTCCGTATAATGACTAGTATGTTTATGAGATTGCATAAGACTTACTACATTTTTGAACTCAAAACATATTTATTGCAATTACAAGATCATTACAAATATATTTATAATTCATGGATGGCATAGAAATATCATGGTAGTGAAGTATAGTCCTCGTGACACGAGGAACATCCTAACCAGGATCCCTCCTGTCGAGAGTTCAAATCTACAGACTGAATTAACCACACCTTCTTAATTTTTCAGTTTTATTTTATATCCTCTGATTTGTTATATCTGGAACGATATGAGAGGAAAAACAAGATCATCAGTTCATCAACCCTCCTGAAATCAAGAAGTTTTGATGACAGACACAGTGCAGAATTCTAAAATCTCTTGACAGTAGTCATGAAGTTATGTCCTTTGCTCTGTCAACTGGAACGAATTATTGTGTCTACAATGTCAGACCATGTCGTATGACACATCCTAAAAGCTTGAAAACAGTGACTTGCGGAGACCGCACTCGCGATATTCTCATCTCTGTGTGGTTCACCACAGGCACAATATGTTTTTTTTTTTTTTTTTTTTTTAAATGGTGATACAAAGTGAAAAATTATGACAAGCAATTAAAGTTTTTTGTATCCTATATCTGTAACTTGTATCTCTTGATTATCTAACTCAATAAAGGCTGACCCTTTCTTTCAATCTCTGATGGTATGATTCGTGCAAGTTTGTTAGAATCTCCACTTTCATGTTCAATGAGATTTCATTGGCTAGGATTTTTGCTTTCATATGTTTAAGTACTTCTTGACGTGTTATTATTGCAAGTCAAAATAACAAGTCAAAGAATTGCACAAACTCTCTATCTATGTACCACCAAAAATCGCCAATTTTCGCCAAGTGGTACCTGTAAATATACTTTTATCAATAAAAGTTGAGCATAAATATGTTTACTGATAGTAGAATACTGTAATTATTATTTCAGATAAATAATAAATTTCTTATTCTTTAAATGTTTTAATTTTGTTTTAATTAGCTAATCAAGAAACTATAGTGGAACTTGTTGACTTTGTGAAACGAATTGCCCTGCAGAGAAGCAGTAAATCTGTAAAAAAAAAATTATCACCTGTTGAGGAATTAAACAAGTTTGTAAATGAAAAAGAGGTATATGAAGCTCACTGTATTCTTTTTATTGTTTATGAACCCTCTGGATTGTATCTGTGTATGTTTGTAAACTGTAATTATATTCTTAATTTAAGATCTTGTATTGATTGCTATAGGTTTCTTCTTATAAACACATATCCAGGACTGAAGTAACGTTTGATTTTCATCGTTTGAATATTTTACTTCTGCGAGCTCTGAGTCAAAAGCAAAATACTTTAGGCCAAAAAGTTGCAACTGCAACTGTAACTGGAGCTCGAATTCAAGCCACTATAGGTAATTCATCGTATTTTTTGTCTAGCCTGGAAATATGCCATAAATGTATTAATTGTTTATTGGCATTTTTTTTATTATATTTGTAAATTAATTCATAGTAAGACAAAAGTCTGAAAGCATCTGTTTAATAAACAATTGCAAAGATCAAAATTAAGTGTTAAATATGGATAATAGGATTCCAAATGTACATCGAGAAAGGTTTGAGTATCATGGCCATTGTCTTGATTCATCCTCGTGAATTAAATGTTAAATATGGGTAATAGGATCCTGTGTGTATGTTGAGAAAGGTATGAGTATCCTGGCCACTGTCTTTATTTGTACTTGATTCTTTTTAATTGAAAAAGAGTTACATAATACATGATGTTATGGTAGAATTTTTATAAAAATATTGTAGTCCATTTTTTTTAAAGATTTTAATTTGTGGGTGAGATTAATATAAAGATGAGCTGAGCTCTCATTATGAAGCAATTAAGTACATTAACCTCAATTTTGTGTCTGCTTAATTCTTGTGTCAAATTACTTTTCAAATAAAAAGATTCTGCCATCAAATGTTATTGCTATATTATTTTCAAAGAAATAATATAGCAAATATAAATAGTATAATGGTTAAAAAAATATATGACAACTCTTTGCGCTTTATTGGGAATTTTAAAGATATACTGCTTTTTAAGATTTTGTGATTTTCTGTTAAATTGTATGTGGCTTGAGTGCAAAGATTGATACTTAATAAATGAAGTTAAAGGGACAAATAAAAAAGCTATCATCATATTAAGGAAACCGAACATTGAAATCATGAACTGGGAAAAGACTGAAAAAATGCGTAGCAACACTTAACACTGTATCAGAAAGTCTAAAGATATGTTACCTTTAAAAATTTTGTGATTGTTAAATCATTGATATATGACTATATAACTAGAGGATATGCAACAATCGGTGTGATGTTTTTAAGAATGGATGTGTGCATGAGCGCTTATAATTTTACATTGTTTAGGAGAATATAATATTAAAAAAGAGTAGTTTTTATAAGTAGCATTGAGCTATGAAGTTTGTAAATGGGTTAAATTTTATTTACAAACAGTCAACCAATTCCATGTTTTAAATAACAATGAGCTTTAAATAAGGCACCACTTGATACTTTCCTTAGAGCTCATTCTCATTAGGAGGAGGGGGGGGGGAAGAATTTCAGAAATAAATTTCTAGATTTTATTGAAGCTGTTGAGGAAACATCTATGCTAGTTGCTAGTTTGGCAGCTCAGAGCTTAGAAAAGCATAATTTGGATATGAATTATGTCTTTTCTTATTTAACAGACAGTGACAATATGAATTTGATGAACACACATTTTGTATATCATTTGCTCTGACGTGAGTGCCTAGATTAGTGAAAGGTAATTGATCTGATCATATCATACATAATGTAGTTAAGTTTGTAATTGACACATTAGATAATCAAAGTTGAAAAGTGTAATCTTAAAGACAGCTTTGCTTCTGTGCCTTACTTACAAACAAATGAAACCTCACATTTCTAAAATGCAGCAGAAATGAAAAGACAGCATTTTTGGTAGCAGAGCAAAAGAGCTCATTAATAAGATTATCTGTGCTATTACAGGAAACACTGTAAACTTGAAAAGATGTTATTAGCAGTGTGCTCTTATATCTGCAAAAAATATATAATGTGACAGAGGGCAGTCCGTATGGATCCACTGCAGCATTTTCTCCACTTGAAGGCACTGATTTAAAAACATTTTGGAAAAGCCATAGAAATGTTTCACGTAAGTGAAAATATTTGCTGTGATGATCTGTGTGAGGAGAGTCCAGCAGCCATCGAGATTATCACTGCAGCAGTATAAACAAAGATGGTGATTATACAGCAAACTGGCTTATATTCTTTTTTTCAGTACCTGAACATGATGCATCAAATATATCCAAAGTAGTAGAATTTTTGTTTAGCATCCCTGGCTCAAATGCTTTTGAAGATGAATCTTTTTAATCATGAAAAGCAAGTGGAGTCATGTGAGAAAGAGATGCTCCACAAGTTTAATCAAGGCAGAACTCCAGGTGACAGTGAAATATAAAACAAGTTTTATTTGGGATTTCATAAATTTGCAAAGGTAACTTAGTAGTTAAAAACTGCTAAAAATTCAGTAAAAGCCAATTAACATGATATGAACAACCCTTAAAACTCAATATACAGTATTTAATATTTGTGTGTTCTACAAAAGTGTGTTAGGAAATATTTTGTTCATTCTATAAATTATAATGGAGCTTTATAGTATTTGTTATGTTCTATAAATGCATAGTACACCTATGTAGTAATATTTTATAATTTATGATGTATGTTGATTATGCATGTTATCCTGCATGGATAACAGGGAGGTGCTAACCCGTAAATGCTTAAATTTTTAAGCATTAAGAAAGTCAATACATTCGAATTGATATCAAATAAAATAGGAAAAATGCTAAAAAAAAAACTATAAACTAAGTTTTTATTAAAAAAAATATTAACTTTTACAAAAAATATGATAGGCAAATGTGTAATAACAATTTTATATAATAATACATGCCTTATAAACTTGTTCAAACAATTTAAAAACTTTGAATACATCAAAATAACAACAAACACAAAATCAAAAATTTTGTAATCGCAAATGATGTCCACATCTTGCACATCAACTCACAATAATGACCGTTACACTGTTAGTGGTGCCACCCGTTGAAACTTTCAAAACTATATATGTAAACAGTATGTATCCAATTGGTCACACTATGCAGTAAGCTAAAAATTTGTGTTTTGATTTACATGACTAAATATGAGTATGTTGCCAAATGGCAACTACATGCATTTAAAGGTTAAGAAAGGCTTATTAAAGCCAAACTATGATATAATTTTACATATTATGAGCTTTATAATAACTTTTTACAATAAAACAAGGAAAAATAACTGAAAAAATGAACTTATAATCATATAACCGTCTGAAGTTAAATACAGTAAAAATTCAGTCCTGTGATGATTGAAAGAATTTTTGAACATGTGCCATTTTTTGCTGCCAAGTCTTGCCATCTTTGCAGCATCATTATATTGATTCCTATAGCTCCTTCTTGTTGCACAATCTATTTAATTACAGTTTCAAGAATCATGATCCATAGATTGGCATATGGCAGTTACAGCGAGAGGCAGAAACGTGTTACAATCCGTTATGTGAAATTTTGCGAGGCTCAAACATTCATACTTGATCTTGTTCTTCAGTATCATATCCATCATACTTGAGAAAAGTAACAGTTTCTTCATCAAGTATTCCATAATGATCACCTAACTTTCAATTTCTTGAAATTTTGTATCTTCACATTCAGGGACATATTGCACTAAATGTAGAATAGGTTTTTTTTTTTCTTTTCTCCCCCCCCCAATCTGTGCTTTCATCATTGCTTACATACTTGAGTTGCCTAATAGCTTTTTTCGTGATTTGACAATTATTGTAGTCCTTATGTCAGGTCAGGTCCATGCAACCAAATAAGTACTGTTCTTTACATTGATGGGCTTTAATTTTTCAATTATATTTTGTCCTTCAGTTTTAGCCCACGAGCGGCTGAACGCTAAAGTCACTGAACACTGGTAGTTCAGTCCAAGGTTTGAATCCCATGAATGGGCTGTGGCTGCATGGGCATTTTCGAGGTTTTCCCCATTTGCAACATGTACATGAGCCACTTTCCCTTAAAAAGTCCTCCCCAAGAGCATCCCTTCCCTTAGGCAGATAGCCCTCGAGGCTTTGCCATAATCATATAAACCAAACCAAACCCTCTTTAATTTCATCTATCACATTGGACAGTAACTTCCTGCAATAGTCCCTTTTTATTATTTCCAAAACACCATGATCCATAGATTGGCATATGGCAGTTACAGCGAGAGGCAGAAACGTGTTACAATCATAATGTCACTGTCTTGAAATTCCTTTGCATCAGTGTACATTGCAGCATAATCTAGCAACAAAATAGCTTTTTTTGGGTAAATTATTTTCTGTCAAAAACTTCTTGTTGAAAGAATGAATTCCTTATTGAATCAGTCTTTGAAAATTTCATTGGTCATCCATGTGCTTTTCTGACTACAGTATTTTACAAGAAGAGCTATTTTGAAATATGAGCTTTATTTATTGTTTATGAAATGTTTTAAAAACTCTAGGATTTTGGGAATTTCTATTCATTATAAGGTTCGTTTTGAAATTTGTTGTAACATTACTGCGTGCTAAATTTATCAGCCTTTCTTTACTACACTTATAACCAGGAGATGCCGCTTCAGTTCTGACTGCAAGATGCTTAATTAGGCAACATATTGTAATTAAAGCATAACTCATAACAGCCAAATACCTGATCATCCATTTGGCTCTCAGTTTCGTTTAATTCTTAGAATTTTTCTTTGGTGCTTCCATTTCTTTAAAATTTGATGGTAGTTTTATACCACAAACACTTAATTGCTGTAGCTTTTCTTCCATCAGTCGAGTCAACTGACATTTGCTCTGAAATCTGGGTCCCCTTCATTGAAATCATTGAAAAAATGCAATTCCGTTTGCTGTCTAATAGGCCCTGAAATAGGCACACATTAGTCTCTGAACTGTGTAAATAAACATACAGATCTTCACTCATTTTTTCATAGTTTTGATTTTTTTTTAATACACACTCTAATTCTTTTTTTTTTTTTTTTTTTTCACCTTTTATCTATTTCTGTTCATTTCCTTTTCCAGTCTCCTACTGTCATCTATCCAATACCAAAGTTTTTAGCTACCTTCTGCATTGCCTCTACCTTGTCCAGTCTCTTAATTGCTTCAATTTTTTGTTCACATTGATACAACTTTCTGTCTTTTCATTGCAATTCTTTTTGTGCTTGCATAAATCTCAACTTTTTAATACCACAACAATGTTTTCAAATTGACACGCCACATGCAAATGAAGAGTAACTGACGTTAAACAGATCCTCATACAATTGTCAAACTGTCCTACCCTAAATGAAA